AAAAACAAATACTCAAGTAAAGTCAAGTTACCTGAAAATTCTATTTAAGTACCTCAAACAAGTATTTGTACTTCATTACTTCCAAAAACTGAACATTGTATATTGTTAACTATACTGTTCTCCATTCTTCACTTATTTTTTGTGCCCAGATTATAATCACCAACAGCGTTTAGAATAGAATTTAAAAGATGAATATGGCAGAAATATTGGCTGCAAGAATATCTGGTACTATATTTGGTAATTTTACCATAAATCCTTGTATAAATATTTAGTCCATTCCTCAATCCATTTTCTTCCGCTTCTCTGGAACACCTCAGCCAGGCAGTATTCTTGTCATTTTCCCATCAGATAATTGGAAACATTATCCATTTACTACAGTGTCTAATTATCAATGTAACTATCAAAATATAGATGCCAAGTTTTCAAAAATCAAACTTGTGGTATTATATACCACTTCATGTCATGACTCTTGTGACCCATGTAGGGCCCATTCTGGACAAACCCAGAAATACAGTACAGCACATTTGACCCCCATAATTACAATGAATTACTGTACTTGAACACACACACACACACACACACACACACACACACCAGAGAGTTCAATAATTCAATATTTTTTGCACACTGTCTTTATTACAGTGACAGAAAATGTTATCAATCACTGATATTCACTGTGTAACTTCATCACACTTGAGCCTTTGTTTGAATTTTGAGATCAGTTTCATGCACCACACTATGCAGCTGGCTTGAATATGGGGTCATTGGCGAAGAGATTCACCACACCTTGATCTCCTCCCACTTTGGTGGGGCACTGGGAAGAGACTGAGGTTGGGAAAGGCTCGATGGTGGGTTCCATTTCTCCGGGAATCTGAGGGTCGGGCTTAAGTGGGAGAGTGACTCCAACTCCAGGCCCACCGGCGGGGACATCAGGGAAGGAAGGCAGGGTCACAGGCTGGTCCAGGGCAGGCAAGACTGTTACTATTCCCTCTGGGTCTTTGTGGGGTGTGGCCCCAAGTCTGTGCCCATGGCTGTGCTCGTGTTCATGTAGGTGACTGTGTGAGTGTGTGTCATCATGGGTGTGTTCAGTCTCTACACCCAACAGGTGGAGCTGCTTCTCCCTCTCAGATGCCTGAAAGAGAGATAGAGAGTGCAGTATATTAAGGCATGTGCAGAATACTGCAGTTAAGCAACCTTAAGTAGAGATGTGAGTATGTGCTTAAAGAATGTGCTTTGGTGCAGTCATCTTTGTAATGAAAACAACAAAGAACAAGTTTGGGGTCCCTAGCTATGTCCCCCCTTCTTAAGGGGTGTGAAATTTTATTTTTCAGCTCATACATTTGGATACTGTTACAGCTTAAGGATGTGTTCACTGACAACACAGGCTTGTGTTGCAGATCACTGCCTGCTCAACTCTACTTCA